TCCCGGCCTGGGTGCGGGGGCGGGGGCCGCGGCTCCCGGCCAGGTGTGAGGGTGGAGCAGATGGCGAAGAGGAGGGAGTGGGAAGGGGGCCCCGCCGCTGCCAAAGCCTGGGCCTTCGCCGGAACATCACCATGGAAACAAAGCAAGGGAGAAAGGACCCAGCCCCACACTTTTTCAGGACCTGGGAATGAGGTACTCAGCCGCCCACGGTACTCGGGCCCCCGCCCGAACTACAAGTCCCAGCGGCCGCTGGACCGCCAGGCTTGCAGAGAAGGGTGCGGACGGCGAAGGCCGCTGGGAGTTGTAGTTCTTTGAGGCAGCAGGCCGAGGTTATGATGCGCCCTCTGGTGGACACGGCCCCCACGTTCGCTCAGCCCTTGCGCGGCCGACGGCGCCTCCTCCGGGCCTCCCCCGCCTCTTCTGACTTCTCCCCTCCACTCCCGATTCACTCCGCTCCGTCCTTCCAACATTCGCCACTGAGGTTCTCCATTTACTTATCCTCCCTCCCAGGACTCACTGACGCAGGGGAGGGTGTTGACAATCATTAACTCAAGAAATATTTACTCACCGCAGCTCACGGTCGGTAATACTAGCGCTGGGGAGGCTGAGGCCAGAGGATTGCCTGAGTCCAGGGGTTTGAGAGCAGCCTGGGCAACTTGGTGAGATCTCATCTCTATAAATTAGCCAGGCATGGTGGCGCGTGCCTGTAGTTCCAGCTACTTGGAAGGCTGAGGCAGAAGGATCCCCTGAGCCCAGCAGGTCGAGGCTGCGGTGGCCATTAGCGTGCCACTGCACTCCGGCCTGGGTGACACAGGTGAAATTCCAACTTTAAAAAAATCTATTGAGTTTCTACTGTGCGCCAGACATTGTCCCCCATCCCATGGGATGGGAGTATACTGGGTATTGGAGACCACCAGAGGACAATCAAACTCAGCAAGAGAAGATCAGAGAAAGTATGAAGTTTGAAGAGTTTTCAGGGAAGTTGGATAAAAAGGATGGTGGTGGTGATCGAGGGAAGGTGTCCTCAGCAGAAAGAACAGCACTTGCAAAGTCAAGAGGAGGGAAAGGCCATGGGGTAGTGACTCACACCTGTAATCCTAGCACTTCGGGAGGCCAAGGCAGGAGGAGTCAGCCCAAGGGTTCAAGACCAGTGCGGGCAACTCATCAAGTCATCTCTACAAAAAACAAAAAAATTAGCTGGGCATGGTGGCCTGTGCTTGTAGTCCCAGCTACTTGGGAGGCTGAGGCAGAAGGCTCACCAGAGTCCAGGTTGAGGCTGTGGTGAGCTGATCCTGCCACTGCATCCCAGCCTGGGCAAGAGTGAGACCCTAATTAAAAAAAAAAAAGTGGGAAAAAGCCTGGAGTTAAGGACCTAGAAAGCATTTGTTGTGTGATGTGAAGTAGGATGCAGGCCTGGGAAGTATGTCAGGGTGAAGGGTGGAAAAGGCTAGCGATAGATCACCAGAGGGGTCAGGAAGCATATCCTCCAGAGGGCAAGCACCGCACATGAACTGACACATGAGAAGCGTCCTGGGCGTAAGAGCGTGCTAAATAGAGGGAACAACAGAAACTAAGAGGTATGGAAAATGGATGCAGCCTGCACACTGTGTGACTGGACCCCAGAGGCCAAAATGAGGCAGGAGGTGGGGGCAGACCACACAGAGCCATGAGCGCTAGGCTGAAAGGCTTGGACCTTCTCCAGGGGAGTGCTGGGGAGCCACAGGAAAGGGACAGGGTCAGCTCTAGATGTTGGGGAGGACTGATGCGAGGAGACTGGAGGCCAGGAGGCTAGAGAGGATCCGGGGGAAAGGATGAGGCCTGAGCTAGGATAGGGACCTCTATGGCACTGTAGGGCCATGGCCCAATGTCCGCTTCTGTCCCACCTCCCCCCAACATATCCACAGTCAGAGACAAAACAGAGGCAGAATCTTTTATTTCAATTCTAAGGGAAGCCACCAGCCTGCTCGCCACATCTGGACACACAGGGAGAAAGCTTGGTCAAGAAGGCGCCAACAGAAGGGGCATGGCCACCATCAATTGCTGAGGAGAGAAGAAAGAGAATGCGAGTTCAGGACCCGGAAGTCCAGCCCCCAGCCCTGACCAGGAGCCCAGGCCCCTGCCCACAGGTACCTTCCTCTTCCGATGGAAGGCCGCCCTGGTCTCGTTGGAGTTGATCTGCAGGGGGATGTGGGCGTCCAGATGATACAGCTGCTGGGGCCCCCCCATCACCAGGCGGTGCTCCCCAATCTCCAGCGACAGCCCCAGGGCTCCATCCTGGGGATGTGTTGGAATCAGTCCCTACTCCCCAGCAATGGGACAATAACAGAGACCGGGCTGCACATGCTGGGAAGCCATATGTGAAGGGTCTAATCTCCCAGGAAAAAGGCAGAGGACAGTAGCTACAAGTCTCAAAGACAAGGGCTTCCAATTCTTGGGTATCCCAGGATGGCACCCAAAGGCAGGCCTGGCAGCCTCAACAGAGGAAGCCTCTTGCACACAGTTCCGGCAACAGCCCCTCGTCACTCTCCCACTCACCCTCAGAGGCAGGCCCCAGCCTTTCCAGACCTCACTCTCCTGCACTCACCAGTTTGGGGAGGTAAATTTCGGCTAAGAGGAGATCAGGAGCTTCCAGCCAAAGGTTTAGGTGAGGCTTCTCTGGGCTGAGGAAAAACAAGGGTCAGAACTAAGGAGAGCTGCCAGGTTTTGCCAGCACTGTTCCTTCTGCCTGGCATGCTGTGCCCTTCCTTCCTCCACCCAGCCCCACTGCCTCGGGATGCCTTTCCACTCAGGAGTTCCTTCTTCCCTCTTGGGCTCTCAGGGCCCCAGGGCACCACCCAGTGTGGGGAGAGGGGGACTGAGGGAGGGATTCGGGAAAGCTCTGCTGGGGAGATGTCAGACAGGGGATCCACGGAAGGCCCACCCTCCCTCAGCACTCCGGGAGTCTGGCGTGTCCAGGTCCCCCAGCTCTTGGATCCGAGGACGCTGCTTAGAGCGGATGTTCTGCTGAGAGATAGAGCCCAGGAAAGGCCGGTTCTTCAACATGCGCCATTCTGAGGATGGGGAGTGCAGAGTCAAAGATCACAGGGTCAGGGATCCCTTTGGTCTCTCAGGTCAATAGTCCAGAGCCTTGCAGGTGAGGCTCTGCCGCCTCCCTGGATTCCCTGGGTCTGACCCCAAGCTAAGCCCATCTTATCCCCGCCCTCCCCATGATATGCCCCCAGTAAAATCCACCCTTGCCAGCGTGATGGCTCATGCCTGTAATCCCAGCACTTTGGGAGGCAGAGGCCAGAGGACTGCCTGAGCCCTGGGGTTCAAGACCAGCCTGAGCAACTTGGCGAGACCGGTCTTTGCAATAAATCAAAAAATTAGCTGGGTGTGGTGCCACGTGCCCATGGTTCCTGCTACTTGTAAGGCTGAGGCGGAAGGATGGCCTGAGCTCAGCAGGTCGAGGCTGCGGAGGTCGTGAGCATGCCACCGTGCTTGATCTTGGACGACAGTGACTCCAACTCAAAAAAAAAAAATCGCCGGGCTCGGTGGCTCAGCCTGTAATCCCGCAGCTTTGGGAGGCTAAGGTGAGTGGAGTGCCTGAGCTCGGGGGTTCGAGACCCGCCTGGGCAGCGAGACCTCATCTCTGCAATAAATCAAAAAATCAGCCGGACGTGGTAGCGCATGCCTGTAA